ATAATAGATTCATTAGAAAATATTAAATATTTATTAAGATTATTTTATAATTATTTATTAAGAAGTTTTTTATAAGATTAATATGTCTCCATAAATCTGTTTAAGAAAACTGAAAATAGTAAATATATGATAAACAATATTGTAAAGTTAACTTTAAGATTTAGAAATCTTTTTTGATCCATTTTTCTAATTGAGATAATAACCTATACTTAGCAATATCTTATTGAATAATCTTTTTTCAAATTTTTATCTCATCCATTTGTAAGCCTTCTCTTTTAAGGAGAGAAATCAATACTATTTCATCAAGCAAGGTAAAATTTTTAGTATCAAACATAATGTATAGATATTTTACTATAATATTATTATAAAATTTTCTAATTTTTCAAAATTCTAACTTTTAAAAATTAAGTAATAAACAAATAAAAAATGTGTATACAATCAAGAAGTTTTGTTTTCAATAATATAAATTTCTACTAAATTGCCACAAATGTCATATCTAGATATCTGAATTATGACCATATTTAGTTAGACTGCATGAAGATAAGACCTTTGGTCTTTCTGACAATCGCAAACTGAAAACAGATCGAAGTAAGAAAAATTGTATAAGAAAAGACTTCTGGTCTAACTCTAATAAAAGCCCATAAAACTCAACTCTCCTGGCATAGCAGACTCTGTAACACAAGTGTGAACAAAAGAAGCAGGTCCTAAACCAGTCTATCCCAATTTAATATTTTGAGGTCTATTCCATACTGATGTTTTTCGAGTTTAAAAATATGGGTTATACAAGACAAGACCATCAGTCACAAGTGGTGAAAAAATAGGCAAAAATTATTAAGCCAAGTAAGCCTATTGAGAACTAAAATAAGGATAATCAGAAATTCAAGTAAAGATGCTATAGCCACAAGTGATGAGAACAGTTGTACTATATTATGCTAATGGTGCATCCCAAGAATTGATGATAACAGGTAACTAGGATAACTGGATTAGTCTCTATAATAATATTCTATAGTTCTTCAACAACAAGCAGCCATTAGGTTGCTGAATTTGGACTTAGCAGAAAGGCAGGTTTAAACTGGTAGCAGGATTTCATATTCCCTAAATTTATTTCATCCAAAGTATGGATTCACCTTTATAGTGTAAGTTGGTATAATTGGATTAATAAAGATGGATAGATAAGCTATTACTAGAAATAGTCAATAGGCAGTGTTAATTCTATATATAGAAGACATAGTATATAAAATCATTTCAATTGAATATATTTCCATATGTAGAAGACACTTGATGTCATATTTAGATATTATTGTAAGGGTCGGTCGAAGTCCTCTTTAATAATTAAATTTTTAAGACTGAGGTATAATAATTTGATCCGAGTATCCTTCTTATTCTACAAAAATAAACTCAATTTCCATTCGTTAGCATACACATTCGTCTACTCAAACTATACCTAAGTTTCTGTTGTAGCAATGGGCATTTACATTGACAACTACTTTGAAACTCTTTCAAAATCCTTTATGGTCACAGTTTCACCTTCAAATGTCATACATTTGCATAGTAGTTGAAACAAATAGTTATTAAGCAATTAGATGATTAGCAATTATTGTTCTGTTTATTTAGACATTTTCATTTGCTTTATATATATGCTAATTACAAAAAATTATATCAGATATATCAAATATATCAACTATCTAAACTATCGCTAATATATCTAATATATCTAATTTCTCAATTATCTGAAATAAATCAAAGAAATCAAAGAAAAAAAATATATTACAGATATCTTATTTTTCTCAGATTTGTCATTTTTGGAATCATCATTGCATAGACTCATATGACCATGCAATTTCCCTTTTACATTATGTATCAATAAAGATTAAAAAAAAAAATAATAATAATATAAATTTTTAATTGTTAAGACAATTCTTCAAATTTAAACTTATCAAAACTATTATTAGACCAAATATAAATTTATTATTTTTATCTTCTAAATTAATGATTTCTCTATATATGTATCTGTAAAAAAAGTTTTATTAATTAACTTATATATTTTATTCAAATAAAAAAATTATAGATATTATTAAGATTATTTTTGATAAGTCTGTTGCTTTCACTAACAGATTTGTAATATGTTAATAGTAGATAAATAGAAGTTTCCTTGAGGCATATATTATTAACTCAGTTGATGATACTCTTTCTAATTCTTTTTTGCTTTCTCTTTATATTGCTTGTGCTTTCTAGACAACTTTCTTATTTTTTCTATTTTCCAAAAACCCTGGCATCATTTCTTTTTCACAGTAAATATTAGATTAAGATAAAATTTATTGGTTTTTCCCTTTTTAAGCAATATTTATTATATAGCCTAAAAAGAAAGATTTCAATTTAGGAGTATGTTTTCTTTATTTTATGCTTCTTTCCTTTTAACTTTACTGCTTTTTTTTTTTTATTATGTCATCAATTATTATATTATACTCGTTTTTCTACTTCTTATTTATTTATTATCTTTCTTTTTTTGTTATTATAATGTTATTCCTATAATTTACTGCTATAGATTATTCTAGACTTATGATGGTTATAACTTTATTTTTTTAAACTTTGTGCTTATTAAGTCTATTTATAATTGAGGTCTTGATTAGATATGATATGCAAAAATCACATTTCGCAGTCTAATTGGCTCAACCTTTACTTCCAACAGTATCTAAAAATTACTTCTATAAATTTAGTAGAAATATCAAGTTTTATAATAGTTATAGGTAAAGATAGATTCCTAAATTAAAGACAAGAATATAATTCAAATGTTCTTCACTATTAAAAAAGTTTTTTTTTAAATATAAGATCAAAAAAAAACTTTTTAATAGTAAGAACTATTTAAATTATATCCTCACCTTGAATTTAAGGACCTATTTTTAGTTATAGAACTTTTGTCTATAATGGCTTTAGTCAGTTCTTTATGAAAATAGAATGATCGAAATTATAAAATCATTAAGTGTGAAGTGAATAGTTTCTTATCTTCATTATTGTCTACTATAAAAGTAAAATTATAATATTCTTTATGTAACAATACTGACCTTGACTGTGTCACGGGACCCATACTACGCCTGTGCACCGGACGCCCGGAAGGTATCTGATCCACCCTGATGACCTGCAAGTCTGAGACACGTTTCCAGACAACTGTCAGACGCATATATGGTACAATTCTGACTCCTGACGATGTGACATGCCACCAAGTGCCACTAATTAAATTACTATGAGTTAATGTAACCAAATTAGGAGCATAAGGCCATAGAGTGTGCATATCTTTTCTTTTTATTTCTTTCTATTTTACTTTTTCGTTTCATTATGTTAATTAAGTACATATGTTTCCGGAGGTTAAGCCCAATATAGATATATATATTTTTATATTTATTTATTATGTATTTTTATGTTTGTATGAAGCCGACATGTATAAAAGGATGCCCTTTTGACCTTAATAAAGTCCCAACTCTGTTGGCATTAAAATTACAATCGCTAAAGTTCACTGTCTTTTTAAATCACTAATAATTTATTAAAGACTTTTACACTTTATTTTTAAATATATCAATAAAGTCTTTGAATAACTTATCAAAAAATTTTAGACTTATTTTTTTTCTCTTATTATATATTAAAATGTATATGTTTAGAATAAAGATTTATTATTATTTAAAATGATATAAAAGATATTGCCCATGCAGCAATTATACAATATTGTGTAGCAGTATATATACAGTTGCATTTTATATTATTTTCAAATAAAATTTTTATACTGTAATAATATAGTATATAGTTTTCTAATTATATTACCTGTATACTTGCTATCCATATTCTATACTATATTATTCAATTCCATTCCAATCCTATTTCAATTCTACTTTCATATTCTATTTAAAATTTTATATTGTAGGTAAATTAGTAGACTATATTATATAATGTAACTAGTATATTTCTAAAGATAGAAATATAAATTTATTAATTCAAATTAACAGTATTGTTATTACTTAATAATATAGAAGTTAAATCAATACTGTTAATAATATTTAACTAATTATTATCTAAATTAATTATTTTAGTATTATCATATATCTCAATTTTAGAGACCTGTGGGTCTATAGCACAGTGGTTAGTGCTCCACAGGTCAGATCACAAGATACCAGTTCAATCCCATGTGAAGGCGATTGAATAGAATTAATATGGTATCCGGTACCATAACCAGTCATGTGCCGTTTCTCATAAGAAGCCATTTCACATGCCGATCCGGTAGGCGTTAAGATTGTGATCTCCAGAAAAGGAGTCGTGGTGTGACGATCGTCCGGTTGGTGCTACGATGATCGCCAGAAGTTGGATAACCAAAAAGGTGTAAGAAGGCGTCCGGTTTGAGAAAAGAAGACTTGGTGATCGTTTCCCCGTGGTACCTGGTGTCTCTTCCTGCAAACCGATGGTCCGGTCTGGCAGAGTTCTATTCGCTATAATAGGTACTACTCCCCAGTTTCCCCTTTCACTTCCCCTTAAATATTCCCGGTTAGAAATAGAACTTAATACTTACAATAACGACACTAATGGAGCACATGCACGTTAGTTCCTGACTCTCCTGAGATGGTTAGTTGGCAGCGTCAAGCCGATATGGGGGTACCAGCCCCGATAATAATCCACGGTGGTCTAGAATAGCTCATAGATAGTAACTACCTGTGAAAACATGTAAGATACAGATGTGAACTAAATAAAGGGTAGCCAACGTGGGTAAGGCCCTGCTGGTCGAAATAAAAAAAAAAAAAAAAAAAAAAAAATATCTCAATTTTAGATTTATTATTGTATTCAAATAAATCACTATTATTTGTTATAGCTATTGCAATTTGTTCAAATGTTTTGTTAAGTTCTTTTATACTAATATCTTTACTTAAAAACTTTAACTCAAATCTAGCATTTGTAATAAGATATGAATAAATTTGTGTTATAGATTGAAGTCTAATAATATTAATTCTAATAATAATTAGTTATTCGGCATGCAGTACCGAATAACTGTAGTATTGGGCAAATACAATTTGATTGGTTAACTCTGGGCTCCGAAGGAGCCCAGAATCATCAATCAAATCAGTTGTCAGATACGTAAACCACCTTTAGGTGGTGAAGTTATTCGGTATCGAATACTGAATGACTCATTTATCTGGCATACGTCATTTTTTTTTTACTTTATTTTACGATATTGCCAATAATTCATACATATTTCTGAATACATTTGATATTTTATATACAGTTCATTATAAAATGCCAGATAAATAATAATATTATTAAATTATATGTAATATATTTAATATATATTAAATAAAATAAATAATTAAATTTACTAAATAATATATTTAACTTTTTTTTAAATATAAGACAACTCTTTTCGCTGATTCCCTTGCCAATCCAAAAAACAGATGTTCTCAAAAATAATTTTTATTTTTGATAATAAAGTCTATACACTTTCCTTAAAAACATTATTTCCTGAAGGCAGGTGTCTCCCCCACTTGTTTACTCTTCCTTCTTCGAAAAACTTTAGATAATTCAGCAACAAAATAAACAAAACTTTACCTATTTGGTCTATAGCAAGAACACCTTACTGGAAAGAAGAAACCTATAGAAAAATATCCTCCACTATTTTCTTCAAAGGTCTGGAACTCTAGAAAGTGAACCACTAGTAAATGCATTTCCCAAGCTCCATAAGAACCTTGGGTCCATCATAAGCAAACACCTTTATCTGAAGGCAGATAGATAAACTAGTTGGTACCTACCAAGTGAATACAATTCCCAAGCTCCATAAGAACCTTGGATCCACCATAAGATTCAAAACTTCTGTGGTTCAGGTGGGTGAATAAGCTTGTAGGAATCTATTTTTTAGGCATATGATCCTCTTTTATCAATTATATATATCTGTAGTAGTACTTTTAAGCATATAAAAATTTTCTTGATTTTTTCTGGAGAATTTTGCCTATCTCAATTTGACCCTGAATTTTTTGTTACACCGGATTCTCTGGTTGGTGATTGGCTGAAATCTTGGATTGGTTGATCGACACGTAAAAGAAATGTAAACAAGATATGTAGTCACACATGTCCCATGTCATATCACATTATAACCGATAATGTAATTGAATAATGCAAAAAAGCAAGATGTCAAGAAGTCCTCTTGATAAAAAGTGTTTGGAAGTCTTCCCCTCCCCTTTTGTGCTGGTTTTTTTTTCTTCTCAAGATTAAAGAAGACTCTCATTAGGCTAGTAATTAGTTTTGATGAGGTTTTTATATTACCAGCACAAACTTTTCTTCTTCCCTTTTACCTTTTCCCTTTATCTTCTTAAAAAATATAAAAATTTTTTTTTATATCTTAGGACCACAGAGATTAAGTTGGGATGAACAGTTTTGATAAAGGGCTGGTGATGATATTGAGATCCACAAGAAGCATGAATCAAGATAGAGCAACTTTATTTATTTCCCTTAATTACATCTAGAGGCCACTGGCTATTAACAGGTGTGTCATATAAAGTATAAAAGTTTAACCTATAGTATAGATCTGTTAGATACTGGATATATATATCCATTTGTACCTGGGGTCTGTTCGAATCCATAGTTGTAAACTAGTTTGAACTTAAATAAACTTCAATATATGGCCTGATTAGATGTAAAAAAAAAATAAAATATAAAAATATATTTACTTTTTTTACTAATCCCCTTGTCAACCCAAAAAAAAACATATATTCTCAAAAATATTTCTTTATTTTTGATAATAAAGTCCATATACTTTTCTTAAAAATCTTACTTCCTGAAAACTAGTATCTTTCCTACTTGTCTACCTTTTCTTCTTCTAAAAACTTTATATGTTTCAATAACAAAATAAACAAAATTTACCTATTTGATTTACAGCAAAAATATCTTATTAAAAAGAAGAAATCTGTCGAAAAAATACTTTCTCCCTAAATCTGAAACTCCAGAAAATAAATTACTAGTAAATGTATTTTTCAAACTTCATAAGAACCTTGGGTCCACTATAAGTAAACAATCTTTAGTCTAAAGCAGGTGAATAAGCTAGTTAGGCCTATCAAGTGAATACATTTTTCAAGTTTCATAAGAATCTTGGATTCACTATAAGTTAAAACTCCTATGGTTCAGGTGATGGATAAGCTGATAAAAACCTATCTACTCAGATATATGATCTTTTTTCACTAATCATACATGTCTGTAGTAGTACTTTCAAGTGTAACAAATTTTTTTAGTTTTTCTGGGAAATTTTGCCCACCTCAGTTTGATCCTGAATTTTTTGTTACATCAGAATCTTTGATTGATGATTGGCTAAAATTTTGGACTGGTTGATCGATACATAAAAAAAAAATAAACAAGATACATACTTCCACATATTCTATATTATACTATACTACAACTAATAATGCAATTGAATAATGGCGAAAGAGCAAAATATCGAGGTGTCCTCTTGATAAGAAGTGGCTTAAAGTCTTTCCCTTTCCCTCTTATGCCAGTTTTTTTTTTTCTCAAGATCAAAAAAAACTTTTATTAGGCTGGTGATTGGTTTAGATAGGTTTTTATTTATCAGTACAAACTTTTTCTTTCTCTTTTATCTTCCTATTATTTCTTAGAAAAATAAAAATTTTTTTTTATCTCTTAGGACAACAAGGTTGTGTTGAAATAACAGTCTGAATATAGGCTAGCTTTAATCTCTTGAAGTGAAGATTCAAGACATTTAACTCTAGAAAGAAACAATTTTATTATTCCCTACAATCACATCTAGAGAGTTAGGATTTGGAAAGTCTAATATAGTTAGTATCACACAATAATAGCTTAATGAACTTATTCCCTTGTAATAAAATAGTTAGTAAATAGCTAAATCAAATGGACAACATGATGGTCTTGATATTAAGAATTCAAAGATTATATACAAATCTGAAACTTGTCAATGGATGTTCTGCTATTATAGATAGTTTAGCTTTAGTATAGTGTCATATTTGATATTGTATTATTATTATTTAGAATTGAATTAATAAATGCACTAATAGCAGTTTGATTAAAGAAAAAAAAAATAATTAATTAAATAATTGAATTTATTTGATATACAGTATCTTTTGCTTAAATATTATCCTAATATTAAATATATTCTTTTATAAGCTGTATTATATAATACAATTGCATATAATTTTAAACCTAATTTTTTTATATAATCTTCATCTTTCTTTAACTTTATTGTAATTTATCAATTAGTAGATATATAAATTTCTTTCACATATAGATCTTTAAAAAGCAGTTTATTATATTAATATAAGCTCAGTTATATAAATAAAAGATCAAAACTAGTTTTGCTGCTACCTTGTTGTTTCTAAAGTTTTATAACTATTTTAATCACCATTTTAAATATATTTGATTAAAAACATGTTACTAATAATTAATAATAAAAAAATTGATAATAATTTATTTAAAAATTATTTTAAAATATTTTATTCTTACCTTAATATTTTAAATATAAAAAAAATAATAAAAGATAGATATCAATATCAAATTTATTTTATCTTTTATTAAAAATTGCAATATCATAAACAGTGGATTATAATACCCGGATATTATACAAATTTAAGAATTTTAAAGGGTACTATATTATAAGGGATACTTTGAATAAAGGAGGGGGTACAAGATATAACCAATCAAAAAATTATCGATAATAAAAAAATTTAATTAATTAAATATGTTTTAAATAAAAATAAAAAAGTACGAATAACTTAAAAAAAAAAAAAGACAATGGTGTACCCATGAAAAATTATTTATAATAAGACATGTAGAACAATGTAGAAATAATCATTTAGCAACAAAAAGATTTGAAGTGAAACTAAAACAAATCCGTTACTGGATAAAACAAAAGCTTGAGCTTGAAAATATAGTATCACATATACAGTATAAAAATTACATAAGGATAAAAGTGCAGTACTTCCAGATTTTGAAAAAATTCTTTTTATATGAATGTCTGATTTACATAAAGATGTAAAAGCTGTTACGCAAGCAAATACTGCTCCCACTACAGGTATCAAGTGAAATGGAAATCTCAAAAAAAAGAAAAACAACAACAATAATAACGGCACCAACAGTAACAACAATATAACTACCAACAGTTCAAATTTCCTGTCTAACAATAATAACAACAATGACAACGCCAATAATAGAAAGACACAAAAAGATAGCTTACCCCTTAGTAATAATACTTCAACATCTGCCCCCGACAGTACTATAATTGACATTCATACCCTCGTTACAGAAACATTTATTCAAAGCAATCTCGTTTATTCAAAATGTATTAATAATCTTATCTCTGACTATCGTAACTTTATTGCACATAATTCTGAGTAGGTATTCACAGCTGCTCGGCATCACTTAATTAGTAGACTAATTTAAAACATTTTTCTAATAGAAGTTAGGTGATTACTGTAGACAAGCTAGTATTTAACTCACTGCAACTGTATGTGAGAGATGTTGTTTTTTTCCATAATGTATACCTTGTTATATACAAATAATAAAGAAATGGTGTTTATCTACGTTAAAAAAAAAAAGTAAAAGCTGTTATGCAAAATATAATAATTAGAAAAGTAAAATTAATTGTCAAAAAAAAAAAATATATAAATTTATATCCAATTATTACTCAGTTTAAATTTTCGAAAGCATGGTTAGAAGGATTTATAAATAGATATAATCTTGCTACAAGAAAAAAAACACATATTGTGCAACACTTTCCTAATGATCTTATAAAAAAACAACAAAATTTTTTAAGTTTTGTTTTATATAGAAAAATTCAATATGATTATTTATTAAAATATATCAGCAATATAAATGAGACTTCTGTTACATTTGATTTATCTTATTCAACTACTCTGAATAATCGTGGCACTTCAACTGTTAATATATAAACTACTAATTATGAAAAAACAAATTTCACTATTATATTAGCATATATGACTGATGGTACAAAATTATCAGTAGTTTGTATTTGTAAACTTAAAAATATATCAAGAGAAACTTTTCCTCAAGGAATTTATATATATGTAAGTGAGAAAGGATGATATAATATATAAGAAATACTTTGGTGAATTGAGAATATATGGACTTGAAGAAATATGTTAGGCAATTCAAGATCTTTATTAGTTTTAGACTCTTTTCATGAACATTTTGTTAATTCAGTTAAAAATAGATTTAATGA